GTTTATTATTATTTTGTTCACAAAAATTCGATATATTAATACAATAATATTTCTTATTAGGATCAAATATTATTACGTATCGGTATGCCAAAGTTGTTTATGCCCAAAATTAGTAGATCATGTATCACAAGGTCTTATACACACAAATTAGAATTAGCAAATTTATGAATACTACATTTGTGCTTCACGGGTAATTATTGCCATGAATTTTTTTCAAGATTGATGCATAATATTAATATAATATCAGCGATATTATTTAGGTCCCATGCAAATTATCGATTATTGTTTGTAATACGAATACAAATTACGATTATTTTTATCGTTTTTTATTAATGTTTCTCGGATTCAATGTTTATTGTAGGATTAAATATAAATTTCGCTAAGTATGTACATTTTTTAAATTTATTGGTAGCCCTTTTTATTTTTTTTAAAAAAAAAAATCTAATTTACTAGATCGAATTGTTGGAAAAAACAAATTTCTAAACAATTCCTAATTCTTTTTTATTCCTGAGTTAATATTAAATTATTAACTCAGAAAATAAAAAATTATCATTCTTTTAAATATACATTCCATTCACATTTCATTCACACTCCATTCACATTTACTAATTAGTTTAATAGAAAAATGAAATTTATTCTTAGTGCTAATCTTTTATTCCTGGCACTTATTTGCCTAACTCAATTTTCAACAAGTGACCTTATGGGTTGGCCACCACTCGATAAACCACCACCGACGAACAGGACTGATTTTAATTCACGCGTGGATTTAACAAAGGTTAGAAATGCTCCTCTTAACAATGTGTCAAATATTGCAAATGGCACTTGCCCAACTACAGATACATATTGTTACTGGCCTTGCTCTAAATGTTCTCGCACAACCGATATTTTCTCTTGCCCAACTGTGGGTGGTATGTAAAAAATTTATTATTTTTTATATTAGATTGAAATTTTATATTGAAAATTTTAATATCATAATTAAAAATTTTTTTTTCTTATAGATTGGGGTCTTACTTTTGATGATGGTCCAACGTAAATATCATATACATAAATATTATGCAATGTCTGAAGTTGACACTCGTCTAGAATTGCACTTGAAATAATAAATTTCTAAAAAAAAAAATTTTTTAATGAATACAAATTCTAATTTCTAATTATATGTTTAAGATTGCAACTCTAGGCTTGTTCTAACTTCAAGCGTGACATTTTAATTATTATATCTTATGAACTAATTAATTAATTTATCTTTTAAATTAGTAATTACACAATAGCCATTCTTGACCTTCTCAAAAAAGAAAATTTAAAAATTACTTTCTTCGTTGTTGGCTCTCGAGTGGTCTCAAATCCAGATATCTTATTGAGAATGTTTCAAGAAGGTAACTATTTATTTATTTCATTTTTAATTAATTCTTACCATTAGTTACTTAATTAATTAATACTATTGACTTTTTTCAAGGTCATCAAATCGGTGTCCACACATGGTCTCACTCCTACCTTACTACTCAGTCTTCTGACCAGGTTGTTGCTGAATTAGAATGGACTGCTGAAGTTATAAAAAATGTAACTGGTGTCAGACCAATATACATGCGTCCACCATTTGGTGATTATGATGATCGTATACGTGATATATGCGCTCAACTCGGTTATAAAGTTGTTATATGGGATAAAGATTCTGCCGATTGGCATTTCAATGATACAGGTTTTCAAACTTCATGGATCGCTTCAAATTTCTCCAGTTGGATGAATGAAACTTCTACTACTGGTCATATTTCTCTTGAACATGATTTATATGAAGTAACTGCTGCTCAAGCCCCAGCAGTGGTTGATATTCTTTTAAAAGCTAAACGTAATGTTAAACCAGTTGCCGATTGTTTAGGTTTCCCTGGAATATTTTATAACAGTAGTAAACCTCCTGTTGCTACCACCGCCTCCCAGGTCCCTCCTACTAAAGCTGCTTCATCTTCAGAAAAAACTAGCTCTAGTAGTAGTAGCAGCAGCAGTAATTCTCAAATTCCTACAAAATCTTCTGCTACATTGAATTTCGATTATTATAATTCTTGGTTATTTATTTGCATTAACTTCTTTTTAGCATTTGGTCTTAATAATTTTTATCTTATTTAATTTGTTTTCTTTTTTTACTCTTTAATTTAAATTTTTTAAAACATGTTATTGATATTGTAATATGTTTAATTGAAATTCTTTTCCAATAAAAAGTGATTATAGAAATTTTTATGGTTCTTTTTAGGCTTACTTGCTACATCTTTGCTATATTCTGTAAGTCAATCTATTTGTTTTTATTACTGCATATGAAAATGAAATTCTTTCTCAAATTTGCTTTGGTCAAATGTGCTTTGAGAAAGGAACCTCCAAGATCATAAATTAGCAGTGACTTTATTAATAAAGAATTAGTGCCATTTTATGACTACATATTATCTCGAGAGAATTCATAATAATTGTCCAGAGCGAAGCGGAAGACACTGTTTTTACTATGGTTATATTACGAGCATGATGAACTTTACTGTGATTTGCTAATTTGGTAGATCATCACATTTTATTACCAAAAATGAGGACGTCTAAAGCAATAAAAAGATTGATAATTAGATAAAAAGATTTTAAATTTTTTTAATTACGTTTCTATTCTTGTTTCTTTATTTGATAATTAGATAAAAAGATTTTTTTAATTACTTTTCTATTCTTGTCTCTTTATTAGTTTTTTTTTTTATTTTTTACTAATTTTATTTTTTTTTAGTTTTTCACCTTTTAACAGTTTTGTCAGTTTTGCCAGTGTTGCCATTTGCTCATTTAATTTTTTTGGCAAAACCTAGAGGTTTTGCCTAATAATATTAAACAGAGGTAAAAATATTTTGAGTGAATCTAGTTAAGTAAAGTTTTATTAAAATATTCAATTGAGAATTATATATATATATAAAAACAGAACTAAAACTATAAGTATTTATATTTAAATTTTTATTAATTATTATAAACTAAATAATAATTATAATTAAAGTATATAGTAATATTAGAAATTTTATATAGTTATTAAATGTTGGAGTAGCTATCTACATGTTTTTATTTGGTAAACTTTTTTAAATTTTAATTTTCATTTTTTATATTTAAAACATTACAGGATTTAAGAATTTAGTCGATGGAGTTAGATTTTCTTTATTTTAAATTTGCTATATATATGATAAAATTAGTTACAAATTTGTATCAAAAAGATATTAAATTTTAACTATCTAGAGTTTGGGCCCTATAGTTTAGTAGTTAAGATGCCAAACTTCACAAACTAGGTTGATGGTTTGAGTCAGGCTAGAGGCAAAATTTAAGATTTTTCACTTCTGTAATCCAGTAGAGGTCATAATCGAATGCAGAGCCCTGTGGTTAAGTTTAAGTGCAAGTATGAAATCAGAAAAGGAAATTCCCAGAAGGAGGTCTAATCATGAAGTGGTGGTACTTTGGATGATGGGTTATAGATAATTTTGTTATATAAAGATCATACATGTTAGTCCTCGATTTAGGTGATTGGGGCAGCACCAACACCCCAGCAGTTGGGGTACTTGATTAAGAGAATAATATAACAGTAACAAAACTAGAGTAGTGAGAAAAGTAGTAAATATTAGGATGACTTGTAGTAAAGGACTGGTTCATTTAGAGTTCAGAAACACCTCTGACCCCAAGCTACTTGGCCTATTAAGGAAGAAACTTATGAGAACAGAGCAAGAAAGCTAAAACTTGAGGTATATAGTAAAACTCAAAATAGTTAGATTTACCAGACTGGTAGTATAATTGTACAAATTAGGCTTGCATACCAGAAATCAATAAAGAACACCAAATACTGTAATTGAAAATATTACAGACTACAAGCTACAACTAGATCTAGACCTTTAGCGTTTATAACCTAAAATATCAAGGCACTAAAATACTATAGCTCAAACTATAGAAGAGAAGTAATACAAAATATACAATCTGAAAGTTATTAGATAACCTATAATACAATATAGTGAAGCTGTACTAACACATAAGAGTACTTATCCAATATAGTAATAAAAATCAGCAGCATACTAACTAAACTAGCTGTTAATGATGAGGCTTAATCTGAGCCAGCATAAGTTCCTCTTTGTAATATTACCTGAGCAGACTAGCTGAAAATAATTAAGATTAGAAGTAGCTATGAGGTTAGAAGACCATATTTTAAAAGAAACTATCAAATTTGGAAGCTTAGATATATGTAGTATAAAAGATGCAAGAATGATATTATAGAGAAGTGTACAAAATAGAACTTGTGAAGAATGAATAAATACTAAATGAGTGCTATCTATAAGGATGTATTGCACTGATAGATTTGAATTGCAGATTATTGGATTAGTAATCAGATAGCAGATAGGGACATCTATCACACAAGTGATAGTTTTGGCCAAAGTATAGATTACTAATAGAATTTAAGTCTAATATAAAAATGTAGTAATGCATGTAATGAAAGTATTAACAATAAATAAAATCATAGGCAAGATCCTACCTGAATATCAAAAAAAAAATTTTAACTATCTATTATATTTATATAATTATTTAAGTGCAACAAAACATTTCTTAATTTTCTATTTATAAACTAATTTAAGTCTAAATACTATTAGTTTTAAAAGGAAAAAAGAAGTACCAAAAATTTTTTTTTGGTATTAAGGCGAGGCCTTGCTTATATCTTTATTAACAATTTTATTAGGTAATAGTAACCACTAATTGAATAATCAACTAATATAAATGTTACTACAATTTGTAAAAGTATAAATAAAATAAAACTATATAGCAAGAATAAAAATTTAGACTAATTTATCTGCGATCTAAACCTATTAGAGTGGTCCTGGACTCATCTAGATTGTAATAAAAAATATAATTAATTGAATTACCATATTTTATCCAGTAAATGGACCAAGTATCAAATTTCTTCCTAGTCTGGTTAACAGGTGGACAGATATTAGTATAAATGTATATTAATCTAGTTCTTCACATAGACAAGAATAAGTATATATTATACAAATATGTCAAGTTAAGGTAGTAGATTGCATTGAACTTGAAGAATCAAATTGTTGTTCAAGGCTGAAAGATTCAAATTGTGTAGAATGACCTGGATTATTAGAGTATAGATAACAATGCCAGGATGTAGAATCAATTTTTCGATCATATGATTTTCTGAGCTAAAATTAACCAATAAGAAATCATGATCAGGTGTAATGTAAAAAATCAAACAAATGCTCTTTTTGAAAAAATCAAGAATATCTCAGAATTTAACCTAATTATCTACCTTCTGTGCTCTAAGTAAAAATTTTCTTTGCATAATTTTACTATTAGAACAGCCTTTGTAATTCTAAAATGAACTTCTATCAAACCAAAACCATAATATAAACAAAAATTTCAAGTTTTCTAACATTATCATGTGATTAGAAAATCGATCCTAAGCCCTGTCAATTTTGAGTATAGATAGTTAAGTTTATTGAACTTTTTTTAATTAAAGAAGTTAGAACAATAAGATTTCCATAATTGTTTATATAATTGTTCATTTATTTTGAATAATATATTAATTATAGCTTGAAAAGCAGTTTTGTAAGAGATATCATAGTTTTGAATAGTTTTAATTAGAGATATAGAAATTAGACCTTTGAGTGTAATATCCAAGTAGTATAAGTATATTTGAAAAGCAAATAGATGAAATGCTTCATAATTGTAAATTTTGGTATAAGTTTCTCTAGCTGATTATTTAAAAGATCTAGTTCTGCTAATCTAAGATACTGTGTAGTAGTATTAGTAATAATTTGATAGATTACTTCAAGTTTTGGCAACTATACCAATGTAAGGTGAATCTGGTAAATTGTAGTAGAAGCAGTTGATATTTAAAAAGATTCTAGGATATCGTAAATAGCAAAGATGGTAGATTGGTAATTCATTAAGTAAGATTTTGATTTTAAAGAATTTGAGTTGATTAAGCTTAAAGTTTGTAATATTAGAAGTAGATTTTCATTTGTAGTTAAAGTATAATCAGGTGGCTTTCCAATCGATTTGATGGCACTCATTATTTCAGTTTTGTAATAACCACATTGCCAGAATTTGGGCTTTACAAATCTTTTTAACAAATAAACAGATAGAGAGCTCAACAAAATATTGCACATCTTTCCACTAAAGTGTATGATAAAGATTATAGGTATTGTTATAATTAAAAAGATGTGGTGTATCTAATATATGTTGTTTAGCTAGGGTTTAGGGCATAGCTAAAAATTTGGTCATGCCCTTTAAAATCACATGACAATAAACCAATCATATGCCAAGATTATATGAATGATGTAGAGAACTAGACTGAGTCAACTCATAGCTTAAAAAACATAATCTTGACTCAAGTTAATTTGAGTTAAAACTTTATTTTTTTAAGCTACAAAATTATTTGAGAGTTAATTCAAGTTATGGCTATTTTAAGCTACAAGTTGACTCAAGTCCAGCCTCTATATTGACATATGTACATATGTACATACGAGCATTAATATTCAGGGTTATATACTGATAATTGCAAAATTATGTATGGCAAATTGTAAATTATGCGAATTATGCAAATTATGCAATTATGCAATTATACGAATTATGCAATTTTGAGTTATTAGCCAATAAAATTCAAAGAAGTATAACAAGTCATGTAATTATAGTCATATTTCCACATAAAAGTGATTATTTAATATATAGCATACATATATTAGGGTTAGGGTTGGGTTAGGCTTAAATAGGGGCATACTTTTTAACCTCAGGGCATGCCCATGGGTATGCTCTAAGGGCATGCCTATATGGGCATGCCCATGCCCCCGTGCTCTAAACCTTATGTTTAGCTAATAAATCAGCTAACAACTTTTTCCGCTAAAACTTAATTTCAAAGTTGACAAAATTAAAATACAAGAATAACTTTACCAACAACATATAAAACATACTTTGACACAGCACGACAAGATAGCATAAACTTCTTAGAACAGCAACTAGTTTAAAGGTTAAATAACAGCAATATAAACGCCTTTATGAAAAATTGGATAAAAATTTTTAGAAAAGTGGGCATTCATCTCTGACCCTAAAAATTCGAATAATAGACATGTAAC